CACACTCCCACCGGGACGCTGCCCCTTCTCTCCTCACACCCACTTAACTGACCTCCCTGGAGTCTGATTAGCTTCCTTACCTCTTTGCCCAACCTCCTCGTCCCTGATTGGTGCACCAGAGCCACGCCCCCTGACGCTGAGCCCCTTGATTGGAACCATAAGACAAAAACCCCACCCAGAGCCATGTAATTTCTGATTGGATCCTACTAGTTCTGCCTCTTCACACCTTCCTGGCCCTGCCCCTACCCGAGCCCCCTTCTGCCCTGGGGTGGGTGCCTAGGGGAGAGGGGGTTCTACATTCCTGCTTGACATCGCTGCTGTGGGTGATCGCTCACTCCCTATTGGAGCTGGGTCATGTACATGTGTGCACACATGTGCCTGTGCCCACCAAACCTCCCCTTCAGTGTCCTTCCCTCCCAGAGGCATGAAGGCTGAGTTGCAATGTGGCAACGCCATGACATATCCCATGGTATGGCAGTGGCAGGGTACTAGAGTCCTTCTCCCCCCTTCTCTCATTGCTCCCCCACCACCCGGCTCCGCTGGTGCTGCTCAGCCCCCAGCAGCTCAGGAGCCGGCAGAGAGTCAGGGATGCTCTCAGACCCCGCGGCCAATTGGAGGGGGTGGAAAAACACTTCAGTTGAGAGAGAGAGAAAGCTGCCGTGATTGGTGAAGCTGAGGCAATGCTGCCCCTGGGGAAGGAAAGGCAGGGTATAGAGTCCAAGGAAAAAAAATCCTGGGGACCATTTTCTGCAAAGAGCCGTGGGGGAGGAGCAGAGCGGAGCTGTGGCCTGGAACTGTGGTCCACAGTCCCTGCTAACGGCCTGTCAGGGGAAAGCCATAACATCTGGAGGCCAATGGGCTTCACCTGGGTGTAGATGGAGGTTTGATTGTTTCCGGTTCCCAGCTGTTGAATTTCACCTTCTGTTTATTCACCCTGCCATTCCAGGCACTTACAGCAGCGGAGCTCAGCCTGTCTTGTCCAACCCGACTTTTCTATGGCTTTTGGTGATTCTGTGATGGGTAGGATGAGTGGCACAGGGCCAGTTCATGGGTTGGATCCCACACACGTGGTCTGTCTGTGGGGCTGATCCAGCACAGGGGCAGTCCATGGGTGCGATCCATATCATCCAGTGCCAGGGGGGTCCCCATGGATCTAGATATTTGGCACCAGGGGGAATGGTGGCAGCTGGAGCTGCAGCCCTTAATGCTGCCACCACTTCCCTGTTGCCAAATTCCCAAACCTGTGGGGAGCTTCATAGGCCATAGGTTGAGCACCACTGACTTATAGCCTTTTCCTTGGGTTCCAGGACTAAACTGAGCAGTGTCACTGTGTGCTTCTTAGCAGGTCTCCGTGCCCCACCCCAGAGATGGCTGCAGCTTGGGGTCAGCTGAGAGATTTCTACGTACAGCCTCAAAAACTTTGGTGCCATCCCAGTGACTGCAGCTTCCATCCACTGGAGCCAGGGTTTGGCATGGGGAAGTGCAATCGCTTTGGCAAGTGTGGATCCAGGGCAGGGGCAGAATCATCATGAAATCAACTGGAGGAGAGTTTCCATCGGCGAGGTGGGGGTGGAGAGGAGCAGAGAAGCAAATGGTGCCTCCTCAGCTCAGGTCAGGTTTGTGATCTGGTTCACCAAGAAGACTTTGTCTCTGCCCTCCTGCAAGGGGAGCAAAACCCAGCTGGGTCAGTACTGCTGCCTTCAGTTACCTCAGGGGCCCACCTTCCCTGATATGCCAGGTCCAGGCACCTGGCTACTGGTCAAAGCAGGCACAGTTGTGCCCATGGGGGAAGGTTCCTTGTCAGCAGCAAGAAGATGAAGCTTTTGGCTTCACTCTTTAGGGTGTCCTGCTGGTTAGTGCTGTTCCTGGGCTTAGATCCCAGATCAGAGCCAGTAGAGGGGAAAGTACCCCTCTCCATCCCCATCCCAGGCAGCCAGAACCCTGCCCTAACCCCAGGATGCAACTCACCAGCTGAAGCTGCATCTTGAGCTCCTTGACCAGGCGACTGTAGGAGTCAGCGAGAGCCATCAGGTAGAACAGGAAGATGCTGTGGGGGTGGAGGGGACCGGCAGGGAGGAGTGAATTAGGGGTTCTCATCTAGTAATGGCTGGGGCAGGGGCCTGGCAGGGGGTACTGAGAAGAGGGAAAGGGAGCTCCGTGGACTGGGAGAGAGGCGCTGCTGTGCACGTGTGTGGGTATGCACCTGTGCATATGCATATATGACTCCTTCACCATCCCCACAGCATCCCTGCTCTCTGTGTAGTCTCAGCTGAGGGAGATTCCCCAGCCTTCTCAACCCAGCCTAAATTCTCACCACAGGAGCAGGAAGAGCGGCACGATGAAGCCCAGTGAGCCCACAAAGTAGAAGAAGCCCCTGGCCAGCTCAGGCAGCTTGTCAATGGCCAACAAGGCAGCATTCCACATAGATGGCTCAGCCCGGAAGGGGCCGCAGGCTTGGGATGGCGGGAGGCTGTGAGAGAGAGAGAGAGAAAGGAGAGGGGAGATTGGTCAGGGAGAAAAGAGGAAACCTTGGACATGGGAGAGAGTAGGACCTCGGCCCTTAGGCAAGGAGTGGAAAGGACTGGGGCTGTAACAACCAGAGGCGGGGGTGGGTGGCAGGACTCAGCCCCTGAGCAACGAGCCAGGCACTGAGTGGTGCCACTGCCCCACCCCTGCTCCCCTGGCACAGGAAGATTGGAGAGGGGAGCAGGGACAGGGTGGGACTGTCGGTATGGGGGTTGGACTCACACAAAGATGCTGTATAGCGCCGGCACCCAGGAGATGGCCAGGCCCAGCAGCAGGACCAGCAGGAAGAAGAAGTTGGAGCTGGAGGCACGGAAGGTCCGGTCGCCAGGACGGCAGTTGGAGAAAAGGGTGAGCTGTGGGGAGGGGAGAAAGGGATGGGTCCACAGGGGAGGAGAGAACCCAGGGGTCCTGGCTCCTGGAGCCCCCTGTTCTAACCCACCAAGCCCCACTCATCTCTCACAGCTGAGACAGGAGCCAGGACACCAGGGTTCTAGGCCCCACTGCCCCTGCTCTAACCCACCAGACCCCTCCGTTCCTCCCAGGGCCAGGAGTGGATCCAGGCATCTGGGGCACACCTTCTTGAGGTAGAAGAGGAGGATGTACTTGAGGGTGTTGAGCAGGGGCAGAAGCGGGCAGAAGGGAGCACCAACCCAGCACACAGTCTGGCCGTACACCAGGTCCAGCACGTTGGCGGGCACCAGGAACTCCTGTTGCCCCCAAAGCTGAGCAAGCAATGTAGGGCCGTGGCTTACCAGGATCCTGGGGGAGGGAGATGAGGTGACAGGGCCTGGCCCTCTGTTCTCTGAGTCAGCCCCATGGGCTCCTTGCCCTGACTCCCCAGAACCCCTTACACCCTCCCTGCCCAGCCTGGCCCAGCCCAGCCTCCCCCCACACCCAACTGCTCATCCCTTACAAGCTTCTCCAGTCCCCACTTTCAGCTGTCCCCTACAAGCTCCCCCAGTCATTTTCACCCCACCCTGGACACTCCCCACAGCCTTTCCAGCTCACAGCCCATCCCCCACTCCTGCCCCCACCAGCCTCTGTCCCACCAGGTCCCACCCCCTCTCACTTGCGGGGGAATTCCACCAGCAGTGTCACCAGCAGCATGGTCAGCAGGTCAAACACCAGAAGCTTGTACATCTCCTGCCCCACCCGAGTCTCCCAGCACTGTGGGGAGACGCATCATGGCATTGCCTTGCCATCAGGTCTGCTCCCTCCAGCCTCTCTATTCTAACCCACTCCCCTTCTCCAGCTGGGAGACAACCCAGGCGCCCTGGGCTCACCCGGAAGTCCTGGTGGTTGTAGCCACAGGTGCGGCAGTCAGGGGCCTCGGTCTGCCCACAGCAGGTGATCTTTATCCAGAGGGAGACAAGCAGGACCACAAGGCTGGCAAGGCGCAGGAAGACGCTCCTGTCCAGACAGAGGAGGAAGACAGAGGCGGTTAGAGGGATCGTGGAATGGCAAAACGAGGCAGGATGTGGCAGGGCTTCTCCCATCCCTGATACCTGACAAGGGTTAATTTGATTTCTTGGCTGAATGGGTATTGCTCCAGGCGCACCAGAACCCCAAAGGCCATAGGCACCACCAAGTTGGCTCCCGTGATGACGATGGAGGGCAGGTAGGAGACCATCAGCTCCCAGAAAGCCTTGCTCTCGGACTGAGCAACACTCTGCTGCAGGGGAGAAATGGGAAGTAACTACAGGCCTCAGTGAGAGCAGGCCCCTCCCATACCCCCTGACAGCTGCAGTGCCCTGGGGAGCGGACACCAGCCCTGTCCATGGCAGTGAGGGGTACCAATGGGCTGGGGGAGCCCAGAGCAGGGCCAGGAGCTTTGGGTTGGGAGTGAGGGGCACCAGCAGGGCAGGGAGAGCTAAAGACATGGAAGGCTGGGAGCTATGCATCAGGACTGATGGGTACCAGCATTGTGGTGGGATGTTACCTGGCTGAGTATGGTCTGTGAGTACTCGGTGGCCAGGTAGATGCAGTAGAAAGCCACTCCGAGCAGGGCAACCACCAGTAGGTTGATGAGGCCGCGCAGGGTATAGAGCCAGGCACGCTGGGCTGGGCTGCGCTGGGCCATGGCACGGCGAGAAGCCTCCTCTTCCAGGTCCAGCTGGACACATACGGCTCAGTGCAGAACCACCCAAGCCCCTGTGCCAGGCCGCCCTGGATCCCCCTCCAACATGGCCCAGCTACTGTCTACCCATGGGTCTATGCACCAGCCCTCCCCACCTCTTGGTCTGTACAGCAGAGCTCTGTAGACCCTGGTCCATACACCAGCCCCTCCCCACATTCTGCTCCAGCTGTGCCTGGCCTCACCTTCAGCTCATAGCGGATGCTGTTGTGCTTCCAGATAGCAGTAGGTAGCTGTGTCAAACCAAAGTCCCAGCCAGCAAAGACCTTGATGCTGTAGGTGCTCAGGGCCCTGTCCTCACTCACCAGGCCACGCTTGAGGAGATGCACAGATCTGGGGGCAGAGTGGAGCTGTGGAGAGAGGCTTGGGGCAGGCACCCTTGCCCATCACGAGCACAGCTGCCTCTGGGGTGGGCCACAGTAGGGGCTGCGGCCTGGCTGAGTTGCAGCCACCTTAGGTGAGTATAACTAGAGGCTTTAATCACTGATGGCTGGCTGATCAGATCTGGCAGCAGAGGGAAAGTGCTCAGGGGTTACACGGCCAAAGTGTGATAGGACCATTCCATCTTCTGCACCTGCTACGCACAGAATAACTGTATGAACCAACCAGATCCTAATGGCTGCCAGGGGAAACAAGCCCTGGAAGATGTCACAGATCCACTAATAGAAGTGCTCTAGAGGATGCTCTGGCCCCTCTGAAGGTAGGTCGGGGGAAGGCTGTGTGGAGCGTTCCTGGGGCAGTGACTGTAAGGAGAGGACTCCCTGCCACAAGGGGGGAATGGAGGACCCCGGTGGACTGTGACTGAGGGGTGGTTGACCTCAGGGGATTTTCCAGGGAATGCTATGTGGGTGAAGTGGCAGCGTGAACACAGGAAAAGGGTTTGGTCAGTTTTATACCTCACTGTGTTGTCAAAGTATCTGATCCCTTCCCCCCGCTCTTTTTAATGCCATTTGTTCTTCCATGTAATGAACCCTTTTGTATTTCTGTTACATCACCAAACTGCCTGTGGTACATTGTGATTTCTGGGCAAATTCATGACTTGGGCATACCCATTCAGCACAGTGGGGGACCAGCAGGCTTATACAAATCCAGGGTGTATCTCTGGGATCACCCTGATAACCCAGGGTTTTGTCATAGACATGATGCTTAATTTATCATCTCCCAGACTTGAAACTCCCAGGAGGCTCCCAACTGAGCCTGTTGTATCTTCCAGGAAGCAGGAAACTTGGTTAAAGCCTCATTGAACGAAGGAGAAGGGGGAGGGAGGCCTGCTAGAAGCTGACACCTTGCTAAACCAAGTTTTCACTGAAGCCAGACAGTGTCAAGGACACAGAGTCTCTGGTGCACTGGTGGCCAGTGGTCTCTGGGGCAGCCCCATGGCCCAGATGCAGCTCCAGTTCTGGCCTGCAGGCCTTATCTTGGTTACCCCTGCTCTAGTGTCTTCAACAGAGCACCAAGGTGCAGCCATTTCTGGGGTGGGGCATGTGGGAAGGCTGTCCCCACAAGAGCAGGGGGGTCCTCACCTGTGGACAATCCAGGCCAGGCAGAGCAGGAAGTAGCAGAGCACAGTGAGTAGGTAGGCCAGGGGGATGTTGTAGGAGAAGCCAACGAAATCCACCGCAGAGTTTCGGTAGTAACCATAGAACAGGTACGTGAGTTCCATGAACCCCTGCAGGAAGGCACTGAGCTTGGACTTGGGGCCTGGCTTCCCTGTGGGGGAAGGGCAGGCTAGGGGGTCTTTCCCATCCAGGGGACTGTAGTTTCTATTGGGAGGTGGTTGATGCTGGAATGGGCAGTGTTGGGACTGGTCCAGAGAATGGGCCCACAGTTAGACCCTCCCTTCCTACGCCCACTCTGAAGGCCAGGGTGGCTGCTTTGGGGGCCCTGCACTTACTGTGCCTGAGAGCAGGTCCATGATGTAGGTGAAGTAGCTGACCAGGCCCTGGTGATTGGGGTCATATCCCATGCAGGGGCTGTTTGCTGGGCAGAGGGAGAGAAAGAAATCACCCTCTGCTTGAGAGAAGACTTAGGTGTCCAGTCTGCTATTCCAGACCACAGCCTGTGCCATGGAGGCTGGGATCCCGGCATTCCAGCTCCCAGTCCATGGTGCAGTCTCTGGTCCCTCACATACTAGGGATAGATCCCATCCCTGCTTCCTGCCCTCACTAGGGGGAAGACTCAGGCTGTGTCCCTGACACCGCATTGGTGTGAGGCCAAGTGCTGGGCTCCCTGGTGCTCCACTCCCAAATCACACCAGGGAGAGGATCAGGGCCCTTAATCCCACACTCTTGCCAGTGAGAAAACCCAGGTGTCCAGACTGCTATAAACTCTCTGGTGCCACCCTTCTGAGAGGATCCAGGTGTCCAGGGTACCCTCTTGGATGTACCTGTGAGGTTGGTAGCCTGCTCAGTCTGGTTCAGCCCGAGTGCTTCAAAGGTGATGCTGGGGGCCACAACAAAGCCCCCAATGACGAGGGCACCCACCAGGTTGAGCAGCACCAGGAAGCGCAGGAAGTTGAAGTAGGTCTCGATACCAGTCCCGAAGTGGCCTGGGTGGAGGACAGGGGCAGTAGCTCCCAGCACACCCACCCCAGCAGGGGCATCTCAGGCTGAGGGAGCAGGGGGTGACCAGCAGAGGGTGCTCTGGGGAGGGTGTGTGTGTGTGGGGGGGGGG